CGTCGGGTCATCTCAAGAATTGTAATGATGAATTGTTATATAAATTATTTTCTAGCTTAGGGAATGATAGGAATGTCAACGAGTCGAGTCGACTCACAAGTCCAAATTTAGGTTCGAGCTTGATTCGAGTAAAATGACGAGCTTTTTTTCAGGCTCGAGCGAGCTTTTGCTCAGCCAAAAAAATTAGGTCCGACCCGAACTTTCGGCTCGACCCTTTCCAAAGTTTTGGAATTTTTTTTTTTTTTTTTTTTTTTAAGTTAAAAGCAACACTAGGCTGCCTTAGAGTGCTGGTAGCGTGTTGCTGCCTTTAAAATTGTTGCTTGTTTTAATTTTATAAATAAAGGCCCGTAAGCTCGAGTCGGTGAGCCACATGGGCCGGCTCGAGCTTTGCCCGACACCACAAAATGGGGCTCGCCTCAAGCCAGCTCGAACTTTTTCGAGTCGAGCCACGAGCGGCAAGAACCTACTAGCTCAATTTCCATCCCTAGGGAATGGGGGACGTAGAGATGGGGGACTAAGGATAAAATGCACTTGAAATAGAAAGCTCCATGAAATAAATGTTAAAACGGAACATATATGTCCCAATTAGAGGTGGGCGTGGATCGATTCAATTCGGTACCAAAATTTTTGGGTATCTAATAAATGGAACCTTCGAGTCCAAATATAATTTTGGAACCATTCGGGTTCGGTTCAGTTCGATTCGATTCCGTACTATAATTAAATTTTTTAACATTTATAATAACACTATATAAATACAACAAATGACATATTCAATCGTAGTTTTACAAATTAACATATTCAAATTTAATAACATGTAAATAACAAGTAGTTCAACAAGATTAATTTACCAATGCTTACAATTTACAAATACCAAAGAGTAGATACTAATACTAAAACTTCAACTATCCATCAATTACTTGACTTGCCATACCATTATTAAGAAACTCTGCAAGAAAAAATTGAAAAAGCACAATTAAGTTATTAACAAATATAAATAAATTCAAATTTGTTCAATTAATAAGATTTAATAAAAAAAAAATATATATATAACATATATTTTATTACCTGTCTTAATGCCCTCATAGGCTATTTTTAGTGAAATGATTCTAACCTCTCATTAGGCTGTTTTTTTGTCTCCTGTTTGAGCATCCAGAATTGGTATCACCTTAACAAAAAACTTGATTAAAATTCACACAAACAATGTAGAACAAAATCATCAAACACTAACGAATGATAGTTGCACCAATTGAACAGAGAGAAACCAGCAAAACATTTTGGAAAACCCTAAGAGCACAAGCTAACTGCTAACAAATTTTATTAACATGATTAGCTGGCTATTTCTCAAATTTAGATGTTGTATACAAACCTTTTAAAACCAATCTTATTAACATGATCAGCTGTCTATTTCTCCAATTTAGATGTTGCATAGAAACCTACCAAAACCAATCTTATTAACTAATCTTATTAAGATGATTTTACCCCTTGAATCCAAGCTCTAAATAACTGTAATGGTTTTGGAATGTCAGAGACTAGTAGACTACCTTGTTCAAATGATCGCTACGGTCACAGTTTCGGTCGGCGGAGGTTACAGCTTCGGTCGAGGGTCACAGCTTTGGTCAATGATTGTATAGGTTTTGAAATGTCAGCGAGACTGTGAGAGTGAATGTGAGAGTCGAGACAACGTTATGCACTTTAGTATATGTGTTTAGGGTTATTTAGTAGTTTGGATCATATTGGGCTAAGAAATGAAACAATAAAATGGGTAATTGGGTAAAAATTAAAAAAAAAAGTTAGAAATGAAACAAATTATTGGGTAAAAAATTTGGATTTAGAAATTGTTAATTTGTTTAGAAAAATTTTAAATTAAAATAATTTAATTTATTCAATAAAAAAAAATTAGAAAAATTCGGTTCTTGGTCTAAAACCGAGAACGGAACCGTACCCATCGATTCTCAATTCAGATACCCGTTCAAATATTTAATTTGACAAGAACCCTCAGCTTCGGTTCGATCGATTTGGTTCAAGAGATTTGCCCAACCCTAGTCTCAATCAATGCACTTATTTGAATTTGTGAAAATTAGGTTTCCACGTGGTAGAAC